TTGGATTATGCAGGGAGCACATGCGGAAGAGTTTCGATGTCTTCAATTTGAGGCATGCAGAGCTCTGTGTGTCTCCCGCTGTTTGCATGCAAGTTGCAGAAAGGGTCGTGCTTTGCCCAACATTTCAGTGAGCGTGGTTTATAAGGTGAGACTAGAGTGTGCATTCTTTGACTTCCACCGCAGATAGGAATTAAGAACGTGTTTTCTCGTTACTTGATCCCGGACTTGTTTGGGTGTGCTGTTCTCCAGCTTCCTTTCTGACTTCATTCTTTCCTTAAATAAAGTATGTTTTGACATAGTTTGATTGCTGGGGAAGCCTGTGGTTGTTTTTAACATGGTTTTCTTTACAGATTAAGCATAGGGTGGAGAATCACAGGATTAACTGGAACTGCTCCTTCATCAGGTTGTGGCCGGCGTTCGAAACCCCCATTGCTCTAGACGCCTTTTGCGACAGGGAATTTCATGAGCGTGAGCAGTTTCTGAGCTCTGGGCGCAGGACTGCACCTAAGATTTCAGATTAAATGGCAGAGTGGGAGGAAAGGAGGACCATTTTCTGCCTCCCCACTTCCAGCTACTCTCTGAAGACTGGAGAAGAGACCCTCTTAAGAATATTAGACGGGTGGGCAGGGGAAGGACTAGACCAGGCATAGGCAAACTCGGCCCTCCAGATGTTTTGGGACTGCAACTCCCATCATCCCTGACCACTGGTCCTGTTAGCTACTGATAAGTAGTTGGTAGGTTTAGTTGAGCTGGAGCTAATTAAGGCTTTCTCCGATACTTTCCAAGACTTTCTCTAAGACTTTTAACTCAAGTCCTTAACTCAAGCTTTGTGAATATAATAGCTGCCAAATGACAGGGATAAAATACTGCGGCTGATGAAAGCTAATAAAAGACTGATAGAAATAATAAAAACCGCATCAACTGATGCGGAGCTCAAGTCGACGCTACCACTAAGCTTAAAACATTGACAGGTTCTATTATCCTTAAACCAGATGTGGACCAGACAGCTCTTCAGAGAGATGTCGCCTTCAAATAGAGGACTGTCCTCTCTAATGTTGGGCACACGGCCATTTTGCCACCTGCCAGTCTCTTTAGCTGGGCAGAAGACACAGGAGTGGAGACCTGCAAAAGACTGGCAGCCTATAGTTTAGTCATACTTTAAAAGGGAAGTTAGTATTGCAGGTGCACAGGTAAAACACAAACGTTCAGCATTCTTGCAGGTGTTTATGACACCATTGCAGAACAACCCACCAACTCTGCAAGCCACTGGCAATATGCCAGGTTGCTGATAGAAATTGAAGGTGTAAATCCAAAGTGTCTCTCCAGAGCTGCAGCATTTAATTTATTATGGCACCGTGTGGAGTGTTTCTCAAATTTATGACTAATAGTTTGCTTAGCAAGGTAAGCATCCATTTTCTCTGCCGGCTGAATACCAACCACAATTGCAGCATGCTCAGTATTTAAAAAATTGATCTGGCTGTACGGGCAAGCCTAACAGTCAATAACACTGGGAATTTCTGTCCAAAGAAACCATAGCTCCTGCAGTCAATTGGAAGCCGCGTCAGATGTTCAGGTTCCAAAGAATGTTTGCAAACCGGAACACACACTTCTGGGTTTGCAGCGTTCGGGAGCCAAAACGTTTTGAGTCTCAAGGCGTTCGTCAACCAAGGTACGACTGTACTTTGCATATATTATTCCTTAGCTATGTGTTCTGCAAGTCAAAGCTTCTTGAATATTTTAACAACGAATAATAATAATAATGGGACGCGGGTGGCGCTGTGGGTTAAACCACAGAGCTTGGGACTTGCCGATCAGAAGGTCAGCGGTTCGAATCCCCGCGATGGGGTGACCTCCCGTTGCTCGGTCCCTGCTCCTGCCAACCTAGCAGTTCGAAAGCATGTTAAAGTGCAAGTAGATAAATAGGTACCACTCCAGCGGAAGGTAAACGGCGTTTCCGTGCGCTGCTCTGGTTCGCCAGAAGCGGCTTCGTCATGCTGGCCACATGACCCGGAAGCTGTACGCCGGCTCCCTCGCCAATAAAAGGAGATGAGCGCTGCAACCCCAGAGTCGGCCACGACTGGACCTAATGGTCAGGGGTCCCTTTATCTTTAATAATAATAATAATAATAATAATAATAATAATGCTATTATTTATACCCTGCCCATCTAGCTTCAATATCAAGGAAAGAGTCAGCATTGCACATGATGTCGACTTCCTAGCTGCAATTTAGCTACTCTTACACAGCAGACACTTCCAGCACACAACTTGCTTGCTTCAGATCGCACCCTCCTAACACCAGTTTGCAACAACGAAAAATGTGTGGGCTAAGACTGATGATGAGCCTGATTATATAGCGTTCTGTTCTATGTAAATTCCTCAAAAAAAGGGATAAATCTCTCTTTTTTTGAGGGGAAGAGGCAGTGGCCTACAAGTGCACTGAACTATAAATAATTAGGCAATCCGTTCCTACTCAAAATCTGTACGTTCGCCTCCTCCGCGCTGCCAAAACGCGCTGTTTCTTGTCGCCTTTTTTTAAATCGGCAAGACAGGAGGGATCTTTGCAAAACTCGCTTGGGAATTTTTAATTGCTGGCACCATCGCGGACTGTAATGGTGCTAGGAAATAGAGCTCTACACAAACTACGGTGGCTTTCCCACACCACCTGCTTCCTAAATCCAGAGGTTTCCTATGCTTGGAAAATCCAGAAAGGAGAGCTGCATTGATTGCATAGGGCAGGGATGTCAAACCGGTTGACCGCAATCGACAGGTCGATCACCCCGCACATGATTGCAAAAATGGAAGATGGAGTTATCGCTGGCAGGGTTAATACCTGGGCAGTGTTGTATGGAGTGTTCCCTGGCAAAAAGCAGCAGAACTATGTCACACACACACACCCAATAAAGCTGGACAACTTTGGCTTGCCCCTCCTAAAAAAAATGCTCAACAACTTAGGGTTGCCCCCTGCTAAAATGGGTAGATCACCGCTAGTTCTTTCTTCTGGGAGTAGATTGCAGAGTCTTGGGAGCGGATGTCCCTGGCATAGGGGAACTCCGTATTTAGGATGGAGAAATTGCGGGATAGCAGTACAGTGGTACCTCGGGTTACATACGCTTCAGGTTACATACGCTTCAGGTTAAAGACTCCGCTAACCCAGAAATAGTTCTTCAGGTTAAGAACTTTGCTTCAGGATGAGAACAGAAATCGGGCTCCAGCGACGCGGCGGCAGCAGGAGGCCCCATTAGCTAAAGTGGTGCTTCAGGTTAAGAACAATTTCAGGTTAAGTATGGACCTCCGGAACGAATTAAGTACTTAACCCGAGGTATCACTGTAGTTGGAGCAAAACGCTGAATGGATGGGGGCAGGAATTAAGGAGTTTCACAATCTACATTAAGCTGTAGACCTGAGGCTCAGGAGCACCGTAAGGCAAAAATACAGAATCAGGAAAACATTGTGGATCTTTGCTGGTGCCGGCTATTCCACCAGATCAATCTGGATTTGGGCCTAGAAGACCAAGGAAAAGCATTGGTGTTTAGTATGTGTGAGAAATGAGGATGTTGCTTTTTCACATAAACCACAAATGGAACAAGTTAGATAAATGTCAGCAGTTCAGATCGATTTGCACCTGAAAACTAGAGGTGTTTAGAGCTTGTGGGCTGGGATGTGGTGTTTTGCTTGGCTCAGTAAGTAACTGCATAGGAACATGGATCAAATAAGGGAAATAATAAATAAGGGTAAAGGTAAAGGGACCCCTGACCATTAGGTCCAGTCGTGGCCGACTCTGGGGTTGCGGCGCTCATCTTGCTTTATTGGCCGAGGGAGCCGGCGTACAGCTTCCGGGTCATGTGGCCAGCATGACTAAGCCGCTTCTGGCGAACCAGAGCAGCGCACGGAAACGCCGTTTACCTTCCCGCTGGAGTGGTACCTATTTATCTACTTGCACTTTGACGTGCTTTCGAACTGCAAGGTTGGCAGGAGCTGGGACCGAGCAACGGGAGCTCACCCCGTTGCTGGGATTTGAACTGCCGACCTTCTGATCCGCAAGTCCTAGGCTCTGTGGTTTAACCCACAGCGCCACCCGCTACTTTGCCTTACCTTCTATTTATTGTCCCTGAGGGGAATGTGGGAAAGCAATTTTACCAGGGACGAAGTGCAGCACAAATAAAACCACCGCACGCTCTTTTGAACTGCTAGGTTCGCAGGAGCAGGGACCGAGCAACGAGAGCTCACCCTGTCGAGGGGATTCGAACCGCCGACCTTCTGATCGGCAAGTCCTAGGCTCTGGTTTAACCCACAGCGCCACCCTCGTCCCTAATAAATAAGGGTAAGGGGCGCTGAAATAAGGGTAGTGGGAGATGTAAACAGAGGAGGGACAAATTAGGCAGCCGTGATAGGCTGTAAACCTTGTAGTACGCAGCCAATGGGGAATCAAGGGAGGGTACTTTGTACTCAATATACTCTTTGCTGCTTTGTTCAGATTGTATTTTAAGGGCCTTAGGACCCACTTCTTACAGTATGGAAACACAATTTGCAGCATTGCCCAACCTCATTGCTGATCACCAGCGTTCACTTCCAATTCCCTGAGTTTGTAGAGCTTGAGCCTGCATGCAGTATATCCCACTCTGATCTCAAAGTGGCAGTTTTAAAAATAGTTGTAGAACAAGACTTTGCCCACTGGAAAGTGCTGAAGAAATAAGACTCAGCGAGAAGAGCAGATATGATAACTTAGCTTTAAATTGCCCCTGACCCTGACGTAAAGGAGACAAGAAGAATCGCCAGCTGACTGTGTGGCAGCTCCAAAATTCAATTTTTAGATTAAAACCACAAGGCGTCAGATGTTGAGGTGTCTGGTGGGAGAAAGGCTGGATTAGGAACCACCACAAAGAGAAAGACAAAACACTCATACGGAGCAGGGTGTGGGGAAGGGATAAAAGATAAGTGTTACCATGGCAATAGTTGCTTGAGGACACATATTTTTAAACCTATCTCAGTGTACGCATTCCAAACACATTTGTCTCTTCCTTTGAATTCTTGCTGTTGAAATTTCTCCTCACAGCTCTCGAAAGAGCACCCCCCTCCATCTGAAATGAAGGGATGCAATGTTGCCCTCTTATTAAAACAAAGCTTCGAGGTAAAGCAGAGGCTGTCATTTCTCCATTTTTCTTGTCCCAGAGTTTTTGACAGAGCTTCCTTCCTGTCTGGGAATTAATTGTATGCCACTTAATAAGACAGAACGCTATTTAAATGCTGCTCGTAAGCAGTCATTCTCTTGGCGTACCTGTCAGGGTTAGTATTAAAATGGGTGGGGGGCCTGTGACCCTCCAAATGGTGATGGACAGCCGGATGCTGTTGAACTACAACTCCCATCAGCCCCGGCAAGCATGACCAATGGCCAGGGATGAAGGGAGTTGTAGTCCAGCCACGTCTGAGGGCCACATGTTTCCCACCCATATATTGACATTTAATTGGTTCCAGGCGGTTTCCTCCCTGTTTAAATTTGAACCCTGGCATGTCTCCAATAGCACCCTCAAAGCAACTCAACAGAGCATGCTAAGACCAAGCTATTATCATGAAACAATAGAAGGAGCCCTGCTGGATCCGACCAAAGGCCTTTGCAGTTCCACATCCTGTCTTTCACAGTAGAGATCCAAACGCTTTTGAGAAGCCCAAAAGCATGTCATCACAGCCTTCTCTTGCTGTTCTCCCACAAAATACTGCCTCCTGTAAGTAGCACAGCAGTCACTGAGAGCCTTATTATTGGTTGATTGGTTGATTGATTGAATTTATATATCACCCTATACCCGGAGGTCTTACAAACCAATGTTGGCCACAACATAATTCAGATGCAATAAAGGGAGCAGGTGGTGATGTGGTCTAAACCACTGAGCCAAGGAGATACGTCACTAGACAACCTTTAGAAGACATTTGAAGGCAGCACTGGATAGGGAAGTATGGACACGGGTGGTGCTGTGGTCTAAACTACTGAGCCTCTTGGGCTTGCCAATCAGAAGGTTGGTGGTTTGAATCCCTGCAATGGGGTGAGCTCTCATTGCTTTGTCCTAGATCCTGCCAACCTAGCAGTTTGAAAGCACACCAGCGCAAGTAGATAAATAGGTACTGCTGTGGCAGGAAGTTGTTGTTATAGTTCTACCCTGTCCATCTGACTGGGTTGCCCCAGCCACTCTGAGCGGCTTCCAACATATGTAAAAACATTGAAAAAATTAAACATGGAAAAAACATTCCTACACAGGACTGCCTTCAGATGTCTTCTAAAGGTTGTATAGTTACTTATCTCCTTGGCTCAGGGGGTCACATAACTCCATACCCTCCAACATTTCTCCAATGAAAAAGGGACATTCTAACGAAAAGTGGGACCTTCTGGGATAAAATCAGAAACTGGGACAGCTTCTGTAAACCCGGGACTGACCCTGGAAAACAGGGACACATGGAGGGTCTGCCTACTCCTTGTAGCAACCAGCCTAGCTTCAGCAGAGCTTATCACAAAGGCCAGAGAGCAGAAGAAGGCAGTCCTTAAGATTGAAGTAAGAAAAGTACACAGATTACCTTGCATGACATAGTGAGGTGTATTTGGCTGCAGACAAGCAGAGACATCACCTTGCCAACAAAGGTCCGTGTAGTTAAAGCTATGGTTTTCCCAGTAGTGATGTATGGAAGTGAGAGCTGGACCATAAAGAAGGCTGATTGCCGAAGAATGGATGCTTTTGAATTATGGTGCTGGAGGAGACTCTTGAGAGTCCCATGGACTGCAAGAAGATCAAACCTATCCATTCTGAAGGAAATCAGCCCTGAGTGCTCACTGGAAGGACAGATCCTGAAGCTGAGGCTCCAATACTTTGGCCACCTCATGAGAAGAGAAGACTCCCTGGGAAAGACCCTGATGTTGGGAGAGATGGAGGGCACAAGGAGAAGGGGACTACGGAGGACGAGATGGTTGGATAGTGTTCTTGAAGCTACCAGCATGTGTTTGACCAAACTGCGGGAGGCAGTGGAAGACAGGAGTGCCTGGCGTGCTCTGGTCCAGGGGGTCACAAAGAATCGGACACGACTAAACGACTAAACAACAACAAGCCATGTCTGGAGGAGTTCTTGGAGAAGGTTCAAGTGCCCCTGTTAAAAACAAAGAAACACAGACAGCCATTTGGTCAGAAGTCATGGCCTTAAAATGGCTTTGCTGTGCAACTGTGCTAATAATTTATTGGAGGCAAACAGCTTTATTGCCAAATTTGGCTTCCATCTTAAGAGCATTAGAACTGCTTTTGAATTAGAAGTATCTTCATTCATGTCTCAGCAAAGATCAGATTCCTAATAACAGTAACAGTTGGCGTTCCCTTCCTTATGTCTTGTTTCCCCTCTCCTACAGAATCCAACCTGGTCCCTTCTGTTAAAATCCGAGAGATGCAAGACCCTGTTCCAGTCCTGCTCTGCCGCCTGATTTCTAATTAACCAAGAAAGAGAATTTAAACTGACACCTCTCATGTCAACGATGAAGCGCAGATTGCAGCAAGGGTAATATTGATCCATTTCTTTATGTGAGCTACTGCAAAGGGAGGGGTGATCAACAGCCAATAGAAGCCAGGTTATGTGGGCCAATGCATTCTGGAAAGACAAGTTCACATTCATATTTTTTTCTTAAGCCTAGATAGGAAAGTGTCAGGACTAGAAGTTCATTGTTGTTATTTACCCTGTGTGAAAAGGTTCCTACCAACCATTTCCCATACTCTGGGCTTTGTGTATTTGATATATTCTGTTTTAGGTATTCATTCTGTTTCTTCGTAATCTCATAACAGCGGTTCTCTGGTTGGCATGCAACAATAATAAAATTGATTAGATCTGTACATTCCAGAGTAAAGAAAGTTCTAAATGGTGGCACTTAAAACACAACAGAATAAAGTAAAGGTAAAGGGACCCCTGACCATTAGGTCCAGTTGTGGCTGACTCTGGGGTTGCAGCACTCATCTCGCTTTATTGGCCAAGGGAGGCCGGCGTACAGCTTCCGGGTCATGTGGCCAGCATGACTAAGCCACTTCTGGCGAACCAAAGCAGCACACGGAAACGCCGTTTACCTTCCCGCCAGAGCGGTAGCTATTTATCTACTTGCACTTTGACGTGCTTTCGAACTGCTAGGTGGGCAGGAGCTGGGACCGAGCAACGGGAGCTCACCCCATCATGGGGATTCGAACCACCGACCTTCTGATCGGCAAGTCCTAGGCTCTGTCGTTTAACCCACAGCGCAGCCATTAAAAAGGAAAAGAAAAAAAGACAAAGGCTGCAATCCTAACCATGTCTACTCAGAATGAAGTTCTCTTTAATTTAGTGGGAACTACTCCAGGATAGGTAAAAAAGGTAAAGAATGGTTAAGTCCAGTCAAAGGTGCCTATTGGGTTGCGGCTCTCATCTCGCTTCAGACTGAGGGAGCTGGCATTTGTCCACAGACACCTTTCTGGGTCATGTGGCCAGCATGACTAAACCACTTCTGACGCAACGGGACACCGTGATGGAAACCGGAGCGCACGGAAACACTGTGTACCTTCCCACCACAGCGGTACCTATTTATCTACTTGCACTGGTGTACTTTCGAACTGCTGGTTGGCAGGAGCTGGGACAGATTCGAACTGCCAACCTTCTGATCGGCAAGCCCAAGAGGCTTGGTGGTTTAGGCCACACTGCCACCCGCGTCCAGGATAGAATACTAGCAAACACCAGTTAATACATAAACAAGATAAAGAAAGCTGCAAGATTGAGCAGCCATACTAAACTCCCTGGAAAAGACCCTGATGTTGGGAAAGATGGAGGGCACAAGGAGAAGGGGACGACAGAGGATGAGATGGTTGGATAGTGTTCTCAAAGCTTCCAGCATGAGTTTGACCAAACTGCGGGAGGCAGTGGAAGACAGGAGTGCCTGGCGTGCTCTGGTCCAGGGGGTCACGAAGAGTCGGACACGACTAAACGACTAAGCAACAACATTGGGGCTGCTCAAGAACAGCGTATCTACATGGATAGCTCAGTTGGGTTAAAGATTGGTGCTGATGACACCATGGTTGCAGGTTCAACCCCCGTATTCCTGCAGGGTTGGATTAGATGATTCTTGGGGTCCCTTTGAACTCTACGATTCTAGTCCACTGATTATCCAGCTGCCATCATCTCCAATGCATTAAGAGGACAGAAGCAAAAAGGTCCTGCCCTTCTAGGAATTGCTGCTTTGTTTAATTTAGGAAATACAGCTTGCCGTCATAACTGTGATAGAACCAGACATCTGTATCATATTTCTCCTTCTCCCAATTTGCCAAAGCTACAGGAGTGGGTTCCTAAACCAGCGCCTCTAACTGAGACGAAGCCACAAGCCCCTCCAACGGAAACGTGCTGTCAACAGCAGATTTGTACTTCCTTGATCTGAACAGTGGATCATTTTTTCTCGTGCAGGAGTTTAGTCAGATGTAAGGGACTGATTACATTTATCTTGTTTGTTCCAGATAATCCTTTAAGGCAATTTAAGCTTTTCAGCTGCTGCACAGTGGCTCCTTCCCTGCTGTGATCCGAATTACGGCTGAATAGCCATCCAAGAATTCTAGCATATCCAAGCAACAAGAGAGGCGTCGGCGTCGGTTTGTACTCAGTAGGTTTCAGCCCCCAAAGATGTCAAAGAGAGACATATTTTTTGATATATATATCTCTCTAGCTATCTCCTTGGGTCTTGCACTGTCGCCTCATGTGGCTATAATGGCTCCAAAAGGGTAGAGGCATCAAACAAGGGATAAAGGGATTGCCTCTGCACAGAACCTCTGGGAAAGCTGCCGGCTCACTTCAGCATTTATTAGCATTCATTCCCCATCCCAAGCTCTGCAAAAATATGAATCTATTTCTGCAACACTAGATTCTGCTCAATGCCTGCCACACCTTGCATTCAGAAAAAGGAAGACTGTATAGAATGTGGCCCATTTACACCTAATTGAAAAAATGTGCTGCACCGGGTGATGCTTTGCTTTCACACAGTTTTGACTTCCGTTAGCATAATTTACAAGGGTTCCGTTAAGTAAAGCTCCCTTTACATTTGAATGTTTTCGAGGCTCCCAAAATGTCCATATCACGTCTCTTTTGGGTGTTAGCTTACCCCTGCGGCAGAGCCATATTCACAAGAAGACTGTACTGTACAATAATGATACTTTACATTAGTTCAGTGGTCCTAAGTAATGGGATCACCTGGCAAAATGGCACACACTGGTAATAATTAGAATCTGAAAGATGTATTACCCCATTGGATTAAAGAGCTGAAACAACCTTATCAGGGGTACTGTAGCAGTTGCCAATCATTTTTGCTAATGGGATAGTTCGGTTGACTATCGTAAACTGACACATATTACATTTTCAGTGAAGTGGTACAGAGTGATGCATGCTCTAGTTATCACCCGCTTGGACTACTGCAATGCACTCTACGTGGGGCTACCTTTGAAGGTGACCCAGAAACTGCAATTAATCCAGAATGCGGCAGCTAGACTGGTGACTGGGAGTGGCCGCCAGGACCACATAACACCGGTTCTGAGAGATCTGCATTGGCTCCCAGTACGTTTCCGAGCACAATTCAAAGTGTTGGTGCTGACTTTTAAAGCCCTAAACGGCTTCGGTCCTGTATACCTGAAGGAGCGTCCCATCGTTCAGCCCGGACACTGAGATCCAGCACCGAGGGCCTTCTGGCAGTTCCCGCCCTGCAAGAAGTGAGGTTACAGGGAACCAGACAGAGGGCCTTCTCGGTAGTGGTGCCTACCCTGTGGAACGCCCTCCCATCAGATGTGAAGGAAATAAGCAGCTATCCTATCTTCAAAAGACATCTGAAGGCGGCCCTGTTCAGGGAGGTTTTTAATATTTAATGCTGTATTGTTTTTAACACTTGATTGGGAGCCGCCCAGAGTGGCTGGGGAAACTCAGGCAGATGGGCAGGGTATACATTATTATTATTATTATTATTATTATTATTATTATTATTATTATTATTATTATAAATGTTCTCAACATGGTGGAGTCCCAAATTATTCTTTCTCTTTGTATGAGAACCACCTGTCCTTTCCAATCTCAGATCCAGAAATGAACCCCCATATACTGCATTGATCCCCAGAAAGCATTGCTCGCGATCTGGCAGCCTGCCTCCAAAATTCACATTACCAAGCATTTGGGAATAAACAAGTCTCTCATGAATGTATATTTCTAAAGCAGTTTTTCTTGCTATGGAGAAACCAGTAGCGTGCAATAACTCAACAAGACAATAACTGAACAGCTTCTTTTTATCTGTCCTTCCAACATTTACCTTGGCTTGCTTTTCCAATTAACGATGAAAAATGGAGGACTTCAACAGTGGATCAATACCCCTCCTCAGTTTAAGTTTGATCACAACAGGATCCAGCCACCAGCCAGTTCTCAATGCAGGTGTTCAGACCAAAACCATTGGATATTTGGAGAGAGGTGGCGCTGGTTCACTCTGGGAAGAAGGCAAGAGAGTTACCAGGTGCGCTTTGCCCATGTTTTGCCATGCACGGAAGAAAGTGGCAGAGATGTTATAATGAACGTGAAGCTCCTTGGAAATGGGGACAAGGCAATGGTGGGGTTTCACACTTACGTCTAATCCCTCCTCAAATCCCACCTTTGTACAGTCCTTCCATCCCCATGTCCTATTACAGGGGTCACCAGTATGACTTCTGAGAATGCCACACCAATGTGCCCGCCAGTTCTTCTTACGGCACCTGCCCTGACTCCTGCCCCTAGACCATGCAAGCAGATCTGACTTGCAAGTAAGAAAAAGGCACAGCACTCAAGAGTCACAAGCAACGAAGGGAAAAACGCTCTCCTATTTATCCAATCTACCCCCCTTTCCTCCCCACTTCCTGTCTCCCACCACGGTTTATAGCAAAGTAGCTGCTCCAGAGCAGAAAAACACAAAAGGCAAGGCTCGTTTAAGGCTTATTCTTACTTTACAGTACCACACGCAGGTCCAGTTGTTTGGATATCTGAATCTGTGGTGTGTAAAGAAAGGGTTGGGTATTAATTCATTGTGTTTGGATAAATGAATTTCCGTACAGCAAGCATTTGTATAGTGTGTCTTGCATGCATTCCTAGTTAAGAGGCTGCTGTTAGTGCAAATTAGTGCTGGTTGATTAACGCAGGGAGTAAAATAATCCATTTGCTAGAGTATATGCTGGCCTCCTGTACACTTCTGGATACAAGTTTTTAAATCTATTGTTAGAATAGGCCGCCTGCACCTCTGCAAGCAGCCTCTTCCTTCGCTTCATGTGTCAGCTTCCTAAATCAGCCATGGCCAACCGCTCTGGACTAATGCAGTTAATTTGAACTGAGTGCATCAACAATCTCTGGGGCTTCTCCTCCGTAACGAACGCTTGCTTCCAATGCAGGGATCTTCCAGTGCCCGAGTTTTGATTATGCTTCAAGTACAATATAATAAGCCCTTATTATCTGAACAGTCACTAACGTCGCTAAGGTTATACTGATGCGATACTTACTTTAGAATATTCTACAGCCAGTGATGACACTTTAAAAGCAGCACTGAAGAGCTGATGTCTGCCCCGTTTTTTCTTTCCTTTTCTTTCCCCCCGGCAAAAGCTCCCAAAACTTGAGCAGCTATACGGCGACAGGCAGAAATGCACCTAGTAGAGAGCAAGGAGCGAGGCAGCGATGGGGAGAATGTCCCTTGATGAGGAGCATCTGTTTAAAAGACTTATTAGGAATCCTGCCAAGGGACGCGGGTGGCGCTGTGGGCTAAACCACAGAGCCTAGGACTTGCTGATCAGAAGGTCGGCGGTTTGAATCCCCGCGATGGGGTGAGCTCCCATGGCTCGGTCCCTGCTCCTGCCAACCTAGCAGTTCGAAAGCACGTCAAAGTGCAAGTAGATAAATAGGTACCACACCAGCGGGAAGGTAAACGGCATTTCCGTGCGCTGATCTACTTCGCCAGAAGTGGCTTTGTCATGACCCGAAAGCTGTACGCTGGCTCCCTCAGCCAATAAAGCGAGATGAGCGCCGCAACCCCAGAGTCGGTCATGACTGGACCTAATAGTCAGGGGTCCTTTACTAGGAATCCTGCCAGCTAAGAGCAGAAATGACTCCTGCAAATGCAAGGTGGATGGACCAGAGCTTTCTGTAGATCTTTGTGCCTTTTATAAATGGAGTGTTTTAATTACACTAAATTATATAGGAACAGGATGGTTTTCTAAACAAACTCTGTGTTGAGGGGGAACTACCACCCAGCTGCTGCCTTCTCCGTTCCATGTTTCCCCTCGAGCTGAGAAGTATCACATTCTGAAATAGGAATATGACTTTTGCTTTTGCAAAAATGGGTTGGGCCAAGTCCTTCATGGATGTGACTCACTCCAGTTTGCTCATGTGGGCAGAGAATTTAGATCATACAAGTGGCTGATGGAAATTGGTGAGAAATAGCGGCTGCTTTCTGTAGAGGAGGAGGAGGAGGAGGAGGAGGAAAGTTCCTGTTGCTGGCATCTTGTAAAAAGGAACGCTGCTAAATTCAAGGAGCTCTGTTAACATTTTAGAATAGAAGAGGTTTTGTTGTAAGAACAGCAAGCGAGGAAGATTGGCAACTGCAGAATTTATAAATTGCATTAATATCCCTAATGCATCTCTTCAAGTTGGTACACTGGGGGGGTGCAGGGTTTTGTTTTGCTTTGTTGTGATACTGCTCCCCCAAATAAGCTCTTTGTCCGCTAAGTGTCTACCTGGGTAACGGTTCCAAATTAGCGTCTGTTCTCCTGTGCTGAGAGCAGCTAGCAAGTGCCTCAATTAATCTTTTGTTTTAAAACGCTGTTAAGTACTGACAAGAAACAGGCTGGTATAAAATAAATAAATAAATAGCCCGTTGAGATTGTGCACACGCTGCAGGTCAGCTAATATAATTAGAGTTCAAATTCCAAGGGAGCTATTCTAAGTTACTCCCCATTCAACAAAGCTGTACACTTGGCGACTCCTTACAAAAGCAATTATTATATGCAAACGTTTAGAAATCTCTCTGGTGCGAGCTGCAGAATTTGAATCTCTGATGTAGGGTCTGGAAGAGATTCAGGCTCTGTGGAACTTAAAGAGAGAAAGGTTTCTAGCCCTCATTATTATAAAGGAGAAGTGTGTTTGTTGGTTTGTTTATCCAACCAACCAACCCTGAAAACTGTAGGTTTGTTTGTTTGTTTGTGTATGATTTTCATTTTTATACATTTCAATAATTTAACAATCATTTCAACATTCCGAAACTCGACTTCCTTCCTCCTCTTTCTGCAGTTCCTTAAATTTATTTTTTGTATTTTCTGCATATTCCAAATTAACTTGATTGACTCATTTATTCATCTACATTAAATATATACTCTTATCAAACTGTGCTTAGGTTTTGTATCCATGAATGACAAACCATCGCCCTACTTCCCCAAGATCTTGGCAAGACCAAAAAATAAAAATAAAATAAAATTGCTCTGAAGAAGAAAGACCTAATCACATTTGCAGCCAGAGCAAAACATGCAATTCACACAGATTCACCTTTGGTTTGGAAACAGACAATAGTTTATAACAGAAGCATTGTCATCTGTGGAGCGTGCGGTGGTTTTATTTGTGCAGCACTTCGTCCCTGGTAAAATTGCTTTCCCACATTCCCCTCAGGGACAATAAATAGAAGGTAAGGCAAAGTAGCGGGTGGCGCTGTGGGTTAAACCACAGAGCCTAGGACTTGCGGATCAGAAGGTCGGCAGTTCAAATCCCCGCAACGGGGTGAGCTCCCGTTGCTCGGTCCCTGCTCCTGCCAACCTAGCAGTTCAAAAGCACATCAAAGTGCAAGTAGATAAATAGGTACCGCTCCGGTGGGAAGGTAAACGGTGTTTCCGTGTACTGCTCTGGTTTGCCAGAAGCGGCTTAGTCATGCTGGCCACATGACCTGTCTAATGACAAATGCCGGCTCCTTCGGCCAATAAAGTGAGATGAGCGCCGCAACCCCAGAGTCGGCCACAACTGGACCTAATGGTCAGGGGTCCCTTTACCTTTACCTAAGGCAAAGTAGGGAACCTGTAGCTCCCTAGAGCTGGCGTTCCAACTCCTGCCTGCCAGCTGGTAAGGGACAGCGAGGGATTAGGTGCACAATCTGAGCAACGATACTACCTTGAGTACTCATCCCACCTTTAGTACTCTGCAAAACATTGATCTGGCATGCATTTTATGCTGCACAATGTTGTTTTCTCTGGGTTGCAGAACTGACATGCCTCCATGTTAGCATGTCGTTCTGGTATGCCCACGTTCTTGTGTTAGTTAGTAAGAGACTAGAAATGAGTAGAAGCAGGAACTAAAGACTTCAAAGGGGATTTAAATTAAACCAAGAACCGAGTTAAAGGAGGCTGAAGCTGATTAGGAATGAGTCACAGGTACCTGGAAAGTAATGCAAATAATTAAGGTCTCCATTATAGGATTCTCCTGGGTGAAGGCAATTGCAGAAGGGGAAGGGAGAGAGTAGACTTCAGCGGGGGTTCCTGGAGTGATTTTCCAAAACTCTCCAGATGTGGGAGTTTAGGAGAAAAACAAATGTTATTTGGCGGTAAATGTTCTTGGGGCTTGAACCTGCACAGTGTGCTCTGCAGAACAGTTCCCTAACCATTCACCCACAACAAGCAGGCTGATCATTGCCATTTGCCGCCCTCCCTAAGCTGTACTTACTCTAGAGAAAGCAGGAACATCGCTGTCAACTTACAGATTTGAAAATAAGGGACCAGCAGCCAAAATAAGGGATTTTAGTCAACCAGCTCCTTTCCTTTCCCCCATAACAGTCAATCGAAGGAGCCTCCAAAACAAATCCAAAAGCCCCCCCTTCCACGAGATCGTCTTTCCTTTCCCCCCACCATGTGCCCCAGCTCCAGACAGACCTTTTTGCCGGCAAGGGTGGGTGGGCCGTCGATGACGTATCCATCCGATTCCGAGCACAGGTATGTTCAACTTCTGAGCCCCTCTGAGCCAAAGGCAGAAAGCCCAGCCAGCAGCCAAACGAAGCCTCAAGCAGTGGTTCCCACAGTGCAGCAACCCTCATTGAACGGGTATAACATAGAGAGTTGATGTTTTGTACTCCTCCCCTGCACAGCTCACAACTTCTCCTCATTTTAGTCATTCCCCTTTTTGTTAGTGGGATGGCTTGGCCAGCAGAGGGTTTCGCCGGTCTATCTGTCATGGCGGTATATCTGGAGTTCCAACAGTATTGTGGAGGCATCACTGAGTCCTATTGCCTCAGCCAGCAGATCTTGAGTATAGCATTGCACACCCAACTGCATTTTTTAAAAATAGCTAGCATGTAGACCCAAACCAGTACATTGCCTATATTGGGTGTGAGGACCTACAATGGGAGCTGAAGTTCAGGAATGTCTGAAGAACCACAGGTTCTCCACCCCTGATCCAGAGGTATTGATGATTATGATAAATAATCACATGTCGCTTGAAACACCCAGCGGAGAGGAAATGCGGCTTGGCCACACTGATTTTCAGCTGAGACCCCAATGCAGTGAATTATCATTTCACACACTGATCAGAAAAAACCAGAGACAGCTGTATGGAACATTGCGCTTGTCTAGCAGCCAAGACCGATGTCAGGTTTTGTCATGTGAGCATGTCCTAAGGGTCTAGCTTTTGCAAGACACCATCTGCTGAAGTGACTTCCGATCTCTGTTCTCTGTCCAGACCTCTCTGAGCTGCCGTTTCTGCCAGGCCTTAGCAGACCCCTCTGCTCTTGCTAAAGAACTGCGTGACAGCAACGTCGACAGCTCTCAAGTTGGGCTGCCTTATGGAAAAAGAGTGAAACGTATCACATGGGAGGAGGAGGGCAGCTGCTTTCTCTCCGATGACTCATCATCCAAATGTTTTCATGCTCCCAATGTCAAAGTCAGATGACAATAACGGGAGACGGAGTTCGCGTGCTGTCACCATGCTTTTTGATGTGCAGGCAGGAGAAGAAAGAGGATCTGCAAGCACAGCTCACAAAACGCAAAGGAATCTGAGCAGTCACTGTTATGACTGAAGCACTGTATATATGCGCAGCCTAGTACAAGAGGCGTCACTAAAAAATTCATGGACGTACTGTTGCCAAAGAGATCGCTTTCCTAAACAGGGTATTTTTAAAAAGACCAAGAGATGGCAAGAGATACGGTTAAGGTTGCACGGGCATTGGGCAGACTTTGTAATTCTGTATGCTGATTATCAAATAATGAAGAAATGAACCTGTGCTGCCAATTCTTGAAGTAGACCAGTAAGAAGTAAGTAAGTTAGATTCTGGAAAAAAAATATTTATTCTCAAAGTCAATCATGTGGATGTTAGCCACAGATGGGGCAAGGGCTGCACCCATGGCTACACCCTTAATTTGGACATAAAAATCATTTTTGTATCGGAAGAAATTGTTTTCAAAAACAATGTCCAATAGTTGAATCAAGAAATGATATAGTGGAACTTGTATTTGCCTGGATAGCAATAGTTTTTCAATTGTCCCTCTTGAATGAGTTTTCTGTTTGTGGCTTCTGTAGTAGATCGTGTATCTTGTTCTCTCAATTTTTGGATTATTAATATAAGATTTAGAACGTAGAATGGTTTGGTAGTGTTTTATGTGCCACTTATGTGCTGCTTACTTCT